ATCGTCGTCCAGCGGGACGACGATGCGCGGAGGGTCCGAGCGGTCGACACAGTATGTGAGCAGGTTGCCATCCAGGGTATAGCGATTGACACGGGCGCGGCTACGCGACGACAGTCGGCGCCGCGCCGTGTCCGACGGATCTCGTAGGTACTTCATCATCTCGGAGCACTCGGCATCTGAGTCGTACGCAGCCGAGATCAGGTCGCGGAGTGGACTGGTGGCTGCAACCTCGACTGCAGCCACCCCCTCAGCGACACACACAGCACACTCATCGTCATCCTCGTCACCAACCGCGTGGCGACCCGACTGCACGTAATCTGGCCGACGCGATAGCGCGTCGGCGAGGATGTTCGTTTTGCCCGGCTTGTAGTGGACGACAAAGTTGTACTCGGAGAACAGAGACAGCCAGCGTGCCATGCGCTGGGATAAGTGGGGGCTCTTCGTCGCTGTCCGCAGCGACGCGTGGTCCGTGTAGATCGCGAAGGTCTTCTCACCCAGGAGGTACACGCGGAACTTGATGAGTGCATAGCGCATGGCGAGCAGCTCTTTGTCATGGACCGGGTAATTCCGTTCCGCCTGCTTCAGCTGACGCGACTGGTAACTCACCACTCTTTCGCGGCCCTCGTCGTCAAACTGCATCAAGGCGCAGCCGATTGCGAAATCACTCGCGTCACACACGACGTGGAAGGGCTTCGAGTGATCTGGAAGCATTAGGACTGGTGCGGTTGACAAGCTCGTCTTCACAGCGTCGAAGGCGGCTTGGTGCTCGGGGCGCCACGACCACGTGGCGTCTGCCTTGAGGAGCTGAGACAGCGGTTGGATGGTCAGCGCGAAGTTCTTCGAATAGTGGTGGAGATACGTCGCTAGGCCCAACCACTGGCGAAGCTGTTTCTGATCATGAGGCACGGGCCAAGCGCAGATGGCCTCAATCTTCTCGGGATCAGCACGGACGCCGTCCTTGCTGACGTAGCTCCCGAGCACGGGGATCTCGGGAGCACAGAAGATGCACTTATTCAGGTTGGCGTACAGCTTGTTCTCTCTCATCACTTCAAACACCTGCCGCAGGTGTTGTAGATGAACAGCGACGTCAGTCATACCGCGCTCGGCACGACTGTGAACGAAGATGTCATCGAAGTAGCTGGGCGCGAAGTCTCGGTACGGCCGGAGCAAGTTTGACACCATGCGGTTGAAGGTAGCAGGGGCGTTCTTGAGCCCCTGCGGCATCACAAGCCATTCCCAAAGCATTCCACTGGGCGTGCTGACCGCAGTCAAAGGCACGTCGCCTTCCCGCATCAAGATCTGGTAGAAGCCGTCCATCAGATCGATTGCGCTGTATTTGGAGCTGCCGGACATGGCGTCGAGCACCATGTCTTTCCTCGGGATCGGCGTCTGCGCGGGGATGGTGGCGTCGTTAAGCTTGTTGAAGGCGTGGACGATCCGCCATCCGCCGGTTGCTTTCTTCACACAGAATGTCGGACTGGAGTGGGGAGACAGGCTCTCACGGACGTGACCGGCTTGCCGGCGACCCTCGAAGAAGGCGTCGATCGCTTCAACTTGATCACGTGGAAGCGGCCACTGCCGCGTCACACAGTATTTTGCACCGGGGACGAGGTCGATCTCGTGTCGGACGCCACGATCCGGAGGAAGTTCGGCCGGAACCTTGTCGGGGAAGATGTCGATGAACTCGCGAACCAGCGGAGCAACCGGGTTGCCGGCGGCTTCGAGCGCCGGTAACGACTGGGCCAAGTAGCGGGCCTCGCGGGCGGACTTAGGCTCAGCGCCTTTCGGGCGTTTCCGGGCATCGAACACTGGGTCGCCAACATCAACATCGACAGCCGCGATAGTCGCGGAGTAGTCCGCGACGATCATGCAAACCTGCTCAATCTCACCATGTTTCAGGTCGTGAAGGAAATGTTTCCACGACAGGCCAGGCAACTTGGTGATCTCGGACGCGTCGCACGGCGGGTGTGCGACCTCAATGTCCTGTATATGTGGGATCGACGCCGCGTCATCCCCTACCAGAGCGGAGATGACCTCGGAGTCAGACGCGTCTGACTCACTCGGAGGAGCGCGGGGTCGCCGAGGCAGACGGCGACCACGGCGACGGACTGGACGGGTGAACACTTCCGTAGCAGGCAGTGGGAGACCACGCTCGACCAAGTCTGCTGTACTCAGACGCTGAGACACGTCATCGGCGTCAACTTCATCAGGGAGCTCTCGCTCGACCACGTGCGGGAGCCCGTGCTCGACCGCGCGTGGGAGGCCATGCTCAACCACATCTTCTTGTTCAAGGGAGAGCCGCTGCTCGTCCGAGCGTGGGAACCCCTGATCGACCACGTTGTTGTCTGCTGCCGAGAGCCTCTGCTCGACGGAACGTGGGAACCCATGCTCGACCACGTCAGACGCGTCTTGAGTCGCCTGCTCAAGACCGGCGCAAGTTGCATGCGCGCACGCCGCACACGAAGGGTCATCACTCACTTCGGGTGCAGCACGGGTCATGGAGTCGGAGTCCATGACTGCAACATGCGGCCATCGGGCCGGCGTTCCGCGCAAGAACGCCACGACTGCATTCACGTCGATGTCACGTGGGCGGACCGTGCCGGTCAGCCAGTTGATCTCAGGCTGGTGACGGGCGAGCCATGGGATGCCGAAGACGCAATCAAACGAGCCACTCAGCTCGATCACGAGGAACTCTTCGGAGCTTCGGAATCC